GAATTTCCCAGTTGGAATACCAGAGGGATGAAGCTACAGCAGAGAAAGCACTTCCTAAATTTGCATAGAGGTCCTCTTGAGTCTTTTGCTGAAAAGTAACCTACATTTGCATAAAATGAGACTTCACAAGACCAGGCAAAGAACTACCTGGAAAGAATGACTGGGGAATCTGCAAGTTGAGCAACTACCTGAGCTTACTTAACTGTTTGACTTCCACCAGTCAGCATAGGGTGACGTCATTGAACAATTGGGAGATTCAGGGGAAAAAAATCCAGAAAGGCCCGCCTTAGGAGTAGGACAAAAATTGCTTTAGGCAAAGCCTATTCCACATCTGTGCTAAGGAAGCTTCAGCATAAGCTCAGAAGGTTCAAGCTGGTCCGTAAGTAAATTACTGACAGATTCTTTAGAGGAAGGCAACACAATTCAGCTTCAACAACAGAAATTCACCATTTCCACCATTGGATAAAAAATTAGAAGGCATTGGGACCAGCAGTTAGCGTAATGGCTATGTTGTTGGACTCCCAAGTAGTCAACTGCTGTTTGAGTCCCGGACTCGGTGGCTTAAAACCCACTCTGGGCGCGTGTGTGTGCATGCCCAAGATCCCAAGAGGAGAATGGAGGAGAAGGGATTCGGCATGGCTATCCCCCCTGGGGGGTGATTTCTCGCTTTCTGTCTCTCTGTCTCTGTCTGTCTGACGAGCGCACGCGCCCTATAGCAAAAACCTCTCAAAAAAAAAAATTAGAAGGCATAAGAAAAAAGCAGAAAAGTATGGCCCGTAACCAGTAGGAAAATTAATATAAACAGGGCCAGAAATGACAGACAAATTTAGCACATATGGACTTTAAAATAGCAACAATAAACATCGAGACTATGAAGGAAAATATGGATGTAATGAGCGAAATGGGAAAAAACAATAAAGAACCAAGTGTAAATGTAACTGGAACCTTTTGTATACATATTCTACTTTAGTAAAAATGTTCTACTTTAAAAAAGGAATTCCTAGAGTTGTAAGAACTAATACTTGAACATTTCAGTGGATGGACTTTACAGCAGTAAATTGCAGAAGAAAAGTTCACCGAACCTCAAAGATATAGCAATACAAACTATCCAAAATGAAGCACAGAGAAAAAGATGGCTGAAAAGCGGACAGAGCCTCAGTAACGAATGGGACAGTGTCAAGCACTCTAGTGGGAGAGAAAAAGACTTTTTAAAATATTTTTTCCAAATATCCAAAGAAATTTTCACAAATTTGATAAACACTATAAATTTACAGATACAAAAAACTCAACAAACTGTAACCAAGATAAACATAGACAACGCTGTACCAGGCACAACAGAATCAAGTAGCTGAAAACCAGCAAAAACAGAGGACACACTGAAAGTGACTAGAGGGCCAGTCGGGTGACATGGTGGCTGTGTGTGTGTGTTGGGGAGGGAGTCTGAGATGGCCAAGTGTATGGTTTGAGTCTCAAACATGGCAGCTTGGAAAATATACGGGGATCATATGTTAGATGCCTAAAATCCTGAGAGGCTAATGGCAGAGAAGGGATTGTGGCATGGCCATCCCCACAGAGGATGATTTCTTGCTTTCCCTCTCTCTCTTTTTCTCTCCCTTTAGCTCTCTGATGAACACATGGGCCCGTGGCAAAAAAACTGAAAAGAAAATGTAGCTAGAGGGGGGAAGGGAAAGCTTGTTAACTACAAGGATACAAAGATAGGAACTACTGATAACATCTCTTTAGAACAGTACAAGCCAGGAGAATATGGAATGGCACCTTGAAAGCGCTAAGAAAACATTTATTTTTCTTTATTCTAACATATACAGATTTCCGGGACCAGCAAATGACGTAATGGTTACATCGCTGAACACCCACATAGTCAACTACTGTTTGAGTCCCGGATCCAAAAGTTAAAACTCATGTCAGGCGTATGTGCATGCATGCCCAAAATCCCAAGAGGAGAGTGGAGGAGAAGGGACTGCAGTGTGGTCATCCCTCCCGGGGAGTGATTTCTCACTTTGTCTCTCTCTTTCTCTCTCTCTCTGGCAAGCGCACATCCCCTAAAATTCTCTCTAAATAAAATAAAACACACAAATTTCCTAACTTTATCCATGAAAAGATGTAGAAACAATGACAGGCTGAGAATAATGAGTACCCTAGTGTACTGACTGGTCTCTCAATACTCTTTTCAAATAATGGGTGCCTGGGACCAGCAGTTAGTGTAATGGCTATGTCGCTGAACTCCCATGTAGCCAACCCCAGTTCAAGTCCTGGACCTGGTGGCTTAAACTCACGCCGGGTGCGTGTGCATGCGTGCCCAAGATCCCGAGAGGAGAATGGAGGAGAAGGGATTGTGGCGTGGCCATCCCCCCCAGGGGGTGATTTCTTGCTTTCTATCTCTCTGTGTCTCTCTCTGTCTCTCTGGCGAGTGCATGCACCCTATAGCAAAAATCTCTCCAATAATAATAATAATAATAATAATAGGTGCCAAATATCCGTGAAGAATGGCTGATTCCAGCTCGGGGGGCAGGGTCTGCACGAGACAAAACTTGGGCATATTATTGTCACAGAAAGCAAGGGAGTTATTATAATAAGATCTAGTGGATATGTCAAAAAATACAGGAGCCTGCTTACAGTGCTTCCCAGTGGCCAGAGGTAGAATTTGAACATCCAAAATAGGATCTCAGCGGATGGAAGCATATCAGACACATAGAACTCGGTGAAATCGTGATACTAAAAAGGAAACTCCATGGTAACGATTCAGGGTTGCTAGAGCACTGAGGCATTGTTCTGAGTTTCATTAACTAATGGGAGACATCAACCATTTGCTTTACCTTTCCTAAATGAGCAGCATTTCAAGATAAAGAAATGAAGGAAATTGATAAATGCAGAAAGAATGGTAAAATTGGAAAAAAAAAAAATCAACATTCTGCCACCTCCCCTCTCCCCACACCTCCCCCACGCCTTTAAAATAGTGAATCTAGACAAGACTCACCGGGAAGTTCCGAAACAGTTAGGTGGAAAGTTAATGGGGACTTGATGCTGGAGAGATGTAGCACATCGAAATCTTTTGATCAGCATTTAATTCCATACCTTCATGTGCCTCCTTTTTGATTTCACAGTGCTCCATATCACCTATAATCTCCAGATTCCTGACACTTCTCAAAAAGAAAACAAAAGCAAAAACTTGAGTGGAGCATCTGTAATAGCTCTAGCCACAGGGCCTAGAGCATAGCCAGAATGTAGGGTAGCTCACAGGAGAACTGAGTTTCTTTACAAATAAATAACATGAAAGAAAGGGAAATGTGGGAACCACTATGGATTAAAAACAAATGTATAGGGCCGGCAGACGGCATGGTGCTTAAGGCACGGGACTCCCACACGTTCGAACATGGTTCAAGTCCCAGACCTGGCAGCTTGCTTTCTCACTCTCCCTCTTGCACTCTCTCTCTCTCTGTCTTATTCTGGTCAAATTGAAGAAAAATAATAAATAAAGTTAAATAAATTTTCAAAGAACAAAGAAAACCACAACTATATCAATCAGGTACTCATATTAAAAAAATGTATCAATTGGATGCAAAGTGGGGACCTTGTTTGGATCTTGATTCTAACAGAAAACATTTTTTAAGATTTTAGGGAACATTCAGACTGGCTGGGATAATGGACATAAAGGACATTTTTGTCAATTTTTTTAACTGTGACAATGGCACTGAACTTATGTGAGATGTTTTCACTATCTCTTAACATATACAGGCTCCAGTATTCCCAGGTGAAATGACTGCTTGCAATTTGCTTAGCCATTCCTTGCTGCACAAGAAGTTGAGGAATGATAAATAGCTTAAACAAGATGGATAAAATGTTGATATTTGCTTGTTAAAGTTTATGATGAGTACGTGAAGGGCAATCATTTGATTACTCTAGTTTGTCGAATTTTAAACATTTCTGTAGTAAAAATTTAAGAATGACCATATGCTTAAGGACCTTTCATAAATGTGTATGTTAAGAGAGGGCCTTACTCAGAATGTACACAGTGTTGTCTTAGAATTAGATACAGTTCTAATGAGTTTGATCCGAGCACCAGTGTTACGGAAGAAAATAGACCGATGTTGCCCCTGCCCTGTATCCTGGTGGTTAAGGGAGCCAGTTACCACATGGCCAACCTTGGTTTGAATCCCAGCCCCAGTGGTTTGAGAAAACATGCTGGGCACATGTGCATGCATGCCCCAAATCCCAATAGAATAGAGAAATGGAAGAGAAGGGGTTTGCGACATGACCACGCCCCATCAGGGGTGCTTTCTCTCTCTGTGACTCTCTCTACCCTCAGGCAAAATAAGAAAAAGGGGACAAAACATAGACTGATGCTAAAGGCATGATCTTATAGAAATCAGATAAGAATGTAAAGTTCTCTGTTGAAAACGATGTACTCGGTAATATCCTTGATTTGACCGTCACATGCTGCTTTCTTTGAAAAGCCATATTGTGTGCTATCAAGAGACAATGATTAAATGTGAATAAGAAATTGTAAAATGAAAATATCTATTTAACTGGTAGCATGAGGTGACACTGAAAATTCTTCAGTGTAGATAAAAACTGTAGTAGTATAGCATCGGGGGATCCCATAGTAATATGAAGTAGATCCACTCTGCCTCAGTCGTCCTGCCAGAGAACATCCCATAGAAACTGGTCCGTCGCAGAGCCCAGCCCTGGTCCCACAGGAGAGCAGAGTTCTCTGCTAACTCCTCGAGAAGTCCTCCTCAAGGGGGCGGTATCCGTCAGCCAAAGTCAACTCCTCCTGGACTGCTTTTGTTGAAGGGATTTGTCAAACAGATTCCTGATGGTCTAACACCATATTCCACTATGCACTGCAGTTTCTTATTGTTTTCCTTATCATGATTTTTTTTTCTGTTTTTCTTTGACGTTTGCCCATTTTAATTCATGTTCATTTCTCCCCTTGTCCATGTCCGTGTCATGCTTGCTGTCTTTGCCTCCGTTGTTCCCAGGTTACTGTATAGCAAGGATGCCCCCAGTCACTTGGCCGATGAGCATGCGCTGATAGCCTCCTATGTGGCCCGTCTGCAGCACTGTGCACGGTCAGTGGTAGAACCGCCACAGGCGGGGGGCCGGCCGGGGGCGCTCTGAGACCTGGGGCTGCCAGCTGGAAAATGCTCTGCATGTGGGGTTTCTCTTGAGCAGCTACCAGCTATGTTTGGCAGAGTTTAAATAATTGCTGAAGCATTAGCTTCTATAAGAGAATGAGCCTTGCCAAGCCCAGGCACTTACCTAAACAAAGAATCAGAAATGCTCCTTGAAAGTGGGGTTTACTTCCTTCAGGTTACACTTCAAGAGTGTAGAAACCAGGGCCAGCAGGTGGTGGTTAAAGCACTGGACTCCCAGATGGTTGACCATGGTTCAAGCCCCAGACCTGGCAACATGAAAATCATACCAGGCGTGTGTGCATGTGTACCCAAAATCCTTAGAGGAGAATGGAGAAGAAGGGAATGTGGCATGGCCATGCCCCCTGGGGGGTGATTTCTCACTTTTCCTCTCTCTGTCCTTCTCTATCTCTCTCTGGTGAGCCTACACACACTATGGCAAAAACCCAAAACAAAACAAAATAAAACATAAACCTCTGTGAGATCGACAGTTCCAAAAAGGTATTTGATGTGTCCTCTTCCTGTTCATTCTTACTTAGAGAATGAAGCCTTTCCACTGACATTCAAAGTTGAGATTGATCACCTCACCAATGTTTCATTTTGTCTAATTTGTGGCTTCGATACCATTACCCATTACATTTTACCATCCTTTATTTGTTAGTAGAAATCTGTCATTGTTGAATATTTAAACCTGTGATTCTCAGCAATGGTATTAGCTCATAGTGAGGGGCTTTTCCAAATGATACACCCCGTATATTGTAATAAGCGTACGTATTTTATATTAGTGCTCTATACTCCTTCCCAGAAAACTCCTATGGGAGTGACTCACTGTTAATATGGGAATGTGACTTGGATTGGGATGGAAAAGCATTTGATAACTACTAATTATGGCACAGTTATTCCATTTTTTAAAAGAGTTAGTACCAGGACCAGCAGGTGGCATGATGGTTACATTGCTAGACTCCTATGTAGTCAATCATGGTTCAAGTCCTGAATCTTGTGGCTTAAAACTCATGCTGGGCATGCATGCCCAAAGTCCAAGAGGAGAATGAAGGAGAAGGGATTGTGGCATGGCCATCCCCTGGGAGGGGGTGGTGGTGGCAATTTGCTTTCTGTCTCTCCAGCGAGAGCATGTACCCTATAGCAAAAACCTCTCGAAAAAAAAAAAAAAGCTAATACCAAACAAAGTGCTAATACAGTCATGTCAGCCAAGGCTTCTGCCCACCTCATGCCCAGAGCCACCACCGTTCTGTGAGGGGGATGACAGCTTCAGTTTATATAATCTAAAGTCGGCCCTCCCTCTCCATAACAGCAGAGTCACGATTCCAAATAACTTGTAAAAATCCTACTTTAAGGTTCTTATCCTTAGAGAGAAAAGACATAATTTATGAACTATATGCACAACAAAGGCTGTGCCTTAAATTTTTATCTTAGTTTTGCCCATAGCATGCCATGGCTCCGTGAGAAAGTCACCTGATCTTACTCCGGCTTCCCATGATAACAGAAGAATAAATTAATAGTCAGCGAAGAAGTATCCATATGAAAAAGACTGTGGGGCTGGCTGGCTCCATGGCCTATCAGTCACGTGCCGCTCAAGAAAAGCCGGGTCCCTTGTCGGCGACAGCTTCAGATCCCCTGCTAGACCAGCCAGAACTACACCGAGCACGGCCCTGAGTAGCCACAATCTGCAGGCTGGAAGGCTGACCGGGCCCTGGGGAGGGCGCTCATCTCCCTCTCTCTTTCCCCTGGGCCCTCATGCACTCTATCATGAATGAAGAGAAAAGGTGTAGAAAGGAAGAAAGAAAATTACTGGGTTTTGACAATATGCTTTATACCATTTCTCATGATTTTCCCAGTATGACTTAATAGCATCATTTGGGGGCATTTGCCAACCCTAAAGACTTGAAAATACTCTGGGTTCTCCAACCTCCCAAGTATGTGTAACAGGCTTAACCCTGTGGGAGGGGAAGCACCGAATCGCCGAGAATGTCTCCTTATCCAGCAGGATTTCTGTGCACGCTCTCCCAGCCTCTTGGTGTCTAGGAATAGAGTCGTTTCACACTAGACAGGACAAATCACTAATCACCAGTCAGGGAGCTTGTCGAGGGTGATTAAAAGCTTCCATGGTAAAATAGCAACAGGGTGTTTGACAGCTATGACTTGATGTTTCAACCCAGAGAGGTTTATGATAGTTTTAGTCAAAATCCTCACATCTCCTGGCTTAGGAACCAAGGCTCCCCAAGCAAGAATTGCCAGCCGGTAGCACTGAGAACACAATGAGTCGAGGACTGAATCTCTTCTCAATTCATACTCAAAGGAACTAAGCCTCATACTTTCTCAGAGAAGTCAGAAATTCCCAGAGCCAGCAGATGGCCTGGTGATTACATCACTGGACTCTCACACGGCCAACCACGGTTCGGGTCCCAGACCCAGTGGCTTCAAAGTCACACCAGGCACGTGTGCATGCATGCCCAAGATCCCAGGAGGAGGAGGATTTCAGCATGGCCATCCCCCCGGGGGTGATTTCTCACTTTCCCTCACTGTGTCTGTCTGTGTCTCTCTCTGGCAAACACACGTCGCTTAAGGCAAAAACCTCTTTAAAAAAAAAAAAAAGAAGAAGAAGAAATTCCTACTTAACTAGTTCTGAAAATGAAAGTTAACTCAAATAGAAACATACGGAACCTTTCTTTCTTTCTTTCTTTCTTTTTTTTTTTTTTTTTTTTAAGAGAGATTTTTCCTATAGGGCATGTATGCTTGCCAAAGAAACAGAGATAAATCACCACCCCTGCGGGGGATGGCCACGCCACAATCCCTTCTCCTCCATTCGCTTCTCAGGATTTTGGACACCCACGCACACACACCTGGCGCTAGTTTTAAGCTGCCAGGTCCAGGACTCAAACTTGCAATTGATAATGTGGGAGTCTAGACATAGCCACTATGCCATCTGCTGGTCCCAGCATATGAACCTTTCTGAGAGTCCTCAGATGATTTTCCCTGATCTGAAAACCTCTCATCAATACAAGGTTCTAGTTTCTGGCTAGAAAGTACAACCCAAGTGTAAAGGCCACATTAGCCACACTCACATATAAATGACAGACAGGATTAACCTTCCTAAGGAGATGAACTGCTGTAGGAAAAAGGAGCACTTTTGCCCAGAGGAACCGCCTCTATTGCTTGTCAAATTACAGAGGCCAGCCACTTTAGGTCCCATTTCTTAGGCTGCCAATCTCTCCATGATGTTACCCATTTTCGTTATTATACATTTGTGTTTGTTTAATTTTATTTCAGAGATAAAGGCAGTTCTCTTTCTCCAGACAAACAGCTGTAAGGCACAGCTATTATAGTTCAGCCCTAACCTTGATGCTGAAGTATTAAAGCCAATTGAAGATAGCATGTTCTTTTTACATGATCATCTTTTGCGAGGATGATTATACATCGCAGGAGACTGACATTTGCACCCTCGAGACTATAATGCCATAGGCAGAAGACTTGAAGGGGAAACATCCATCCTGAAGGAAAGACTAGGTTAAGCTTAAAGAATTAGTTAGAGATAGATAAATAGAAAGATGGGGGAAAAAATCTAGAAAAAATACAATTAATTTTATACATGAGAAGGTCAGCCAGATCTTTAGTAATTTAGCATTCCCCTTCCCACATTCCTATAGTAATTAGAACAAGTTTGGTAAATGTTGGGCACATGCCTTTTAAGTTTTCACATGTTTTTATCATACTGCTGAATTCTAGTTAAGGGTTTTTGGAAACTCCAAGAACTTAGGATTAAAGTAGAGGCAAGCCCCAACAGCCCTCTCTGGTCAGAGTCATCCTCTCACTATTGTCTTAAAGCATCTTGCAGTCTTTTAATTTTTTAAAAGTTTTTGCCATAGGACACGAGTTCACTGGAGAGACAGAGAGAGAAAGTGAGAGGTAAAGTAAGAAATCACCCCTTAGGGAGAATGATCACACTGCAGTCTGTTCACCTCCATTCTCCTCTTGAGATCTTGGGAATGCATGCATACACACCTGGCGTGAATTTCAAGCCACCATATCCAGGACTCGAACTGTGATCAACCATGTGGGAGTTCAGTGCCTTAACTACTATTCCTCCTGCTGGCCCCACATGTTCTAATATTAAAGAGAATTATATAGCCCTGTCAATCTAAGACGGCACTGGTACAGTAAGTGGCAGTTGGCACAACATACTTTTTTTTTTTGGAGAGGTTTTTGCTATAGGACGTGTGCGCTCGCCAGAAAGACAAGAGAGACAGAAAGCGAGAAATCACCCCCCGGGGAGATGGCCACACCACAATCCCTTCTCTATTCTCCTCTCAAGATCTTAGGCGCACATGCACACGTACCCGGCATGAGTTTAAGCTGAGGCCGGGTCCAGGATTTGAACCGCAGTCGACTACATGGGAGTCCAATGACATAACCATTATGCCATCTGCTGGTCCCCGGCATGACATACTAAATACTTCAGAATCCCTCCAGAAGTTTTCTATCAACATCCATATACATGGAGCTAGCCTACTACTCACTCCTTCTTTTGCCCAGGTGCCACATTATGTAGTATCCCATCTGATAGGCTATTAAATGTTGAGAGTACTGGGACCCTTATTAAACAATGATGTACTAAATAATGCACCGTTAGATGAAACTATTATTGTAGAACAAGAATAGTAAAAGAGGATTAAATGAGACTGCTCGATATTATGGAATCTCCTTCAACTTTCCAGTACGTTTGGCCTGCCCTGGTCAGGCTTACTCATTTTTGTTCAGCCAGTGGTAAGTATACTTTTCCAGCCCTTTGGTTTTTCATGATGACTTAGTGTTCTCTTGGGCTTTTTTAATTCAAGATCTAGGTCTAAAAACGTTATGAGTTTTAAAAAAGAATTGTTTAGAAATCCCTGTATCAGATTTTGTAGGTACCCTGTCTTTCTTTAGTTCTTACACTAAGAAAGAACTGCCCCCTGGGTGGTGGGGGAGCAGGGGTGTGCTGCCGAAGGGGAATGACATGTGTGGCCTCATTACTTTAAATCCCCTTCCGTGTCAGGATACTATGAGTATCTATGAACCAGGTCTTCATTTCTTTTGTTAACATTCTTTTATACAAGCTCTTCTTCCCATCCATTCTTTCTAAGAATGGAGCGAGAGTGAGGAATGTTTAATAGACACCTGTTGAATCTCTGTCTCCTTGGCAGTGTTCTGGAAAGTCCTAGCCGACTGGACGAGGAGCACCGGCTTATAGCTCGCTACGCTGCGCGGCTGGCTGCAGAGGCAGGAAACGTGGTGAGTAAACAGAGGACAACCTGAGTGAGCAGGACAGCCTACGTGAAATAGACAACTTTCTTGAAAGACACAAAAGTTAACAAAATGGACACAAAAATAAATGAAAATCAAATAATCCTATGCCTATAAAAGAAATTGATTCATAATTAACTTCCCATGAAGAAAACTCTTACGCTCAGATGGCTGACTGTTGAATACTGTCATATTAAACAAGAAATAGGATCAATCCAAGGAAACACTTTCAGGAAAAGTAGGAGGAAGAAACATTTTCCCAGTCATTTGATCAGACCACTGTAACCATTACCAAAACAATACAAAGGCATCACAAGATGAGAAAATTGCTGGTCAGATGTTCTCATCAATACAGATGCAAAAATCCTTAGCGAACTATTAGCACATTGAATCCATTGATATATGAAAATGAATCAATGTAATTTACTGTATAGAATTTTAGTGGTATATAAAATTTGAGGGGCCAGCATGTGGCATAGTGGTTAGGCTCTGGACTCTCACATGGCTGACTGTGGTTCAATTCGCATACCTGACGGCTTAAAACTCACATCTGGTTCGTGTGTGTGTGTGTGTACACCCAAAACCCCAAGAGAAGAATGGAGAAGAACGGACTGCGATGTGGCCATCCTCCCTAGAGGATGACTTCTCACTTTCGCTCTCTCGTCTCTGGTGAGCACACACACCATATAGCAAAAAATAAATAAATAAAAACACAAAGCAAACAAAAAGAACTCTCTTAAAAACACACACACACAACTTGAATAAGAAAATTAGAAGATCATTTTAATATTTGCAAAGAAAGCATTTGACAAAATGCAATACCCATTTATAAATACAGCAAAACTTCTCTGTATACTAAGCATGGGAGAAAATTTCCTCACTGATGAAGAATACCTACAGAAAAGCTTCAGTTAATATCACATGTAAAGGTTAAATTTTAGAATATTTTCACCCTAATGTTGGGGAAAAGACAAAGAACTCCACTTTTATCTCTTGCGTTCACAATTATACTAGAAGACCTAGTCAGTGCTACATTGGTAAGAACAAAAGGATGTGGGGACCAGCAGATGGTGTAATGGTTACATCGCTGGATTCCCACATGTTGACCACAGTTCAAATCCCAGACCTGGCAACTTAAAAAAAAAAAAAAAATCTCATGCCAGGAGTGTGTGCATGCATGTCCAAAATCCTGAGAGGAGAATAGAGGAGAAGGGATTGCGGTATGGACGTCCTCCCTGGTGGGAAATGACTTCTCCCTTTCTGTCTCTGTCTCTGCAGCGAGTACACATACCCTACAGCAAAAAAAATCTCTAAAAACATTAACTTAAAAAAAAGGATGTAAGTCTATAAAAGTACAAAATGAAGTGGTTTTTATTTGAAGATGACATGAGTGTGTATAGAAGGTACTAAGGAATCTGCAAAAATACAGAACAGATAAGCAAATTTATAGAAATCTTGCAAGATACTAAGTCCATAGAGATATAAAAACCAAGTATATTTCTCTCTACTAGTAATGAACAATTAGAAAGTGAATTTTATGAAAGTCACTGTTACTATAAGATTAAACATCAAATACTCATGGATGGGTGCATTTGTGCCCAAGATCCCAGGAGAAGAATGGAGGAGAAAAACTGTGGTGTGGCCATCCCCCCAGGGGGTGATTTCTCACTTTCCCTCTCACCGTTCTCTGTCTCTCTCTCTCTGGCAAGTACATGCACCATATGGCAAAAACTTCTAATATATATGTGTGTGTGTGTTTTAGGGAGCCATCTCTCTCCGCTTCTCCTAACAGTTGGTGTGGCCTGGCCCCGTCTACACTTGGTTGAATCCACAGATGCAGAGCCCACAGAAGCGGAGGGCCAGCTGTGTGTCAGTACTAGACACGTGTACCAGTTTATGTGTGCATCCTCATAGGAACGTAGTGGGGAAAGCTGCAAATGGAGATTCTCGCTTTGTTCCTCCCCCCAAAAGTCATTTATCCTTCAGGATTTCAGAATCCTTTCCTTAAGAATCTAATATCAGATTACAATCTTTGGACCAGCAGATGGCATAATGGTTGGACTCAAGCATAGTTGACCATAGTTCGTGTCCCAGATGCAGCGGCTTAAACCTCACGCCAGGCACATGTGCCCGCGTGCCCCGGATCCCAAGAGGAGACTGGAGAAGGGAGCCATTCCCCGGGGCGGGGGGTGGGGGTGGGATGATTTCTCGCTTTCTGTTCCTTTGTCTCTCTGGCATGTGCACAGATCCTATAGCAAAAATCTCTCTCCAGAAAAAAAAAAAAGCTGATATCAGAGCCAGCCCTGCAGTGCTGTGGTTAAGCCCTGTGTCCTGGGAGCCAGATCTAGCATGGCTGGCCATGGTTCAAATCCCTGCACTGGCAGCACAGGCTGGTGCTTGGGCATACCAAGTCCTTACAGGATGGAGAAATGGAGGAAATTTTAAAAAATAAAATCTAGTATCAGTTCTCATATCTGACTAACATTATAACTCTAATCATTAGAGAGTAGAACAGAATATTAAAAAAAGTCTGTGTAAAAGAAAAGTGTTGTTGGGACCAGCAGTTGGCGTAATGGCTATGTTGCTGTACTCCTATGTAGTTGACTGAGGTTCGAGTCCTGGACCTGGTGGCTTAAACTCATGCTGGGCACGTATGTGAGCATGCCTAAGATCCTGAGAGGAGAATGGAGGGGAAGGGATTGCAACATGGCCATCCTCCCGGGGGGTGATTTCTCGCTTTCTGTCTCTCTGTGTCTCTGTCTCTGGCATGTGCCCTATAGCAAAAACCTCTCAAAAAAAAAAAAAAAGTACTGTTTAATTAAACCTTACAAATGCCCTCAATCAGAGTTGAGTTGTTTATAAATGTATAAATACAATAAATTAAATTTGTTGAAATGGACTACACTGAATTTTTAAAAATTAAGTGTATTTAATGCTATTGTATATAGTCTTGATGACTTTACATGGTACTTTTAAAATTTTGTAAATACAAGCTCCAGAACCTTTTGACCCTGAAAAAGGAGATCCCAGTACCCCTTTACTGCAAACAAGATAAGTCTATTTACACTCGATGGGTCCTGATGCCAGCTCTCTCATTCTTGTGAAAATGATCGTTGTTAGCATGGTCTTGGGGCTGAATACTGATATGGCCCTTTCATCTTTGGTTTATTTTGCAAAGTGTAGTTATCTTATAAATACTGGGCCTCTCCAAAAGGATTCTTCTTGAGGAGATTTCTGTTAAACGGGAGACTCCTAATCCTCTAATCTCACACTGATACAAGTGCTTTGCATAAAGTGGGTGTAGTGCTCAAAAGAATTTATTTATAGCCTGCTAGCTAGGCTTTGTATTGATTTTGTTTTTTCCCCAAAGACCTTGCACAAAGAGAGACCACTGAGCTGTGCAGCAGCCAGGAGTGCACCGCGGGGAGCCTCCAGCTGCAGTGTCCTCACTTCTGCTCCCTGGGGGCCAAGGCCAGCACCTTTTCAGAATGACCTGAAAGAGGACATTAGGAGAGCCGCTGTATTTTCCCAGAGTGCTTAAGTTCCTTAAAACAAACGAACGAACCTATGATGGCGGGCGAATGATTGTAGTAACAGCACCTTCTTCTTTCTTCTGAAAAGAATTAGTTAACTTTATTTATTTATGTATTTAAATTTGACTAGAGAGGGACAGAGAGAGAGAAAGTGAAAATGAGAAAGCAAGCTGCCAGGTCTGGGATTTGAACCAGAGTCGGCCATGTGGGAGCCTGGTGCCTTTAACCACCACGCCACCTGTCGGCCCCAAATAGCACCTTGTTAAAGTTCCATCACAGACAATACTAGCATTGGATATTACATCTGATGTTTTGTTTATCTTTAAGGATTTTTTTTTTTCCTTTGTAAAGAAATGAAAACCTCATTATGGAAAACTTGGAAGAAAGGGGAAAGGAAGGGGAAACCAACACCCCTTGTGTCGCTGGCTCACACTGAGATGTCTCTGAGCCACTTTATTTCAGAAAGCCACATCCCAGCCTTGGGAGCCTCGTCATCTGGTCATCTGCTCAGCTATTACAGGCATGTGCCATTCCCAGAATATCCAAACGACTCCCTAGAACTAAAGCTGAACCATAGCCACGAGATGAGTTGTACACGTTTAATGTCTCCAGACCCTCCTGCAAATAAACAGTCATTGTCAAACATGGCTACATGCAATAATCCTATGGGAAACATTTTAAAAATATATAGGTTCTTGACTTTGTCCCGGACCTGCTGAGTCAGAATCTTTGGGTTCAAAGCCCATTGATCTTTAAATAGAAAGAAAAGGAAACTCCCAGCCTTCTGATTTACAGCTAGTTTGGGAGCTACCACCTTCAACAAACATGGTTGGATTTTTGAGAGATGTTAATAAGCCACAGTTCTCCACGTAGTCTAAGTGGGGTTGGATGATGGGCAGGCTGCCCCTGAGTGTAAAGAAAGTCTCTTGGGTGTCAGGCACATTTCCATGGGGCTCATCCTTCCAGATTCATAAGACAGGAACCTCTGGTATCTTCAGGAGGCTTCAGAAATGCATACAACACTTATAGTTGGCTGGCTGGGTTGGCTCTCCTTCATTTTATAACAGCCTAATTTAACTGTAAGGGGTTTCTTGTTTCTTACTCTCTAGTTTTTAACTCTGTCTTCATCTCATACATGTTGATGGAAAATAACCAACTCTAAAAAATAATTTTTTTCTGGAGAGGTTTTTGCTATAGGGCGTGTGTGTATGCCAGAAAGACAGAGACAGAGAGACAGAAAGTGAGAATCACCCCCTGAGGGGGTGGCCACACCACAATGCCTTCTCCTCCATTTTCTTCATGGGATCTTGGGCACGCACGCACATGAGTTTAAGCCACCGGGTCCAGGACTTGAACCACAGTCGACTACATGGGAGTCCAGCAACATAGCCATTATGCCAGCTGTTCATCCCAAAAAGGCAGGACATGTGGAAGGGGGCGGTCTTGTAGGTTATA